GGGAAGGGTAAGAGGCGGGAGAGGTGGGAGACCTAGGATGAAGGAACACTAAGATGGCACATGCCAGGTGATGAGAGGGGATGCCGGAAGGGGGAAGGGGAAGAAGAAGGGTAAAGAAGAGAGGGCAAACTAAAATGAAGGAGGAATCAGAAGAGAGGACAGTGCAAACATCAGCCTACCTAGACTAGAAGCAATGGCCTCCAACTCAATAGCGATGGCCTGAAACCCAATAGCGACGGCCTCTAACCCTAATCGATGGCCTCCAGCCCGCAGCAGTGGCCTCCAATCTACTAGCGATGGCCTCTGGCCTAGTAGCGATGGCCGCCAGCCCAATAGTGATGACCTCATACCTAATAGTGATAGCCTCTGGCCTAATAGCGATGGCTGCCAGCCCAATAGTGATGGCCTCATACCTAATAATGATGGCCTCCAAGTCTAGACTGTCTTCTCACATCAGCCAAAAAAGATCTTATTAGCAAGCTTCTCTGCATATGCCATCTATGTGCATATCTTTCTTGTCAGCTGTAATCGCGTGAAATGTCAGCAATTAAAAAGACGATGTGCGACTGAATTTGCAACTGTGCCATCTTAGTGTTTGTGTTCACGTTGGAGTCCTGAGGAGGGTTTTTTTCGTCTTAGAGATGGTCTTTTAATAGGTGCTGGACTTATGCCATCTATCTGTGATCCACTATATGTTCATACTGATACTGTTTAATTAGCATTCGTGGTGGCTGCAGAAATGACCGCGAGGCCAGGCCAAAGCCGAGACAACCCACACACTGGTAGGTAAAGCTACCAATATGTAACATCCACTTTGCCTCTGCTTGATTGTGGCTTGATTGTGACTAGCCTAACATCCTGAGCCACTGCTTACATCAGTTAGGGGAAGGGGCACCTGCTCTGAAGACACGATGCAATTCTGGAGCAGAAAGCCAAGAATAAAACATAGAGATGAAAAACGAAAGGTAAAACCTCATTGAAGGGCCTTACCTGTTTCTTCCAAGCTCTTTGTGTCTCCTTTTAGCCCAGTCACATGGGCTCCAAGGCCGCCAGCTAGCAAGCTCACAGTCGGTGGGGACCGTTGGCACACAGCCGATCGTCTCTTTGAGACCTGATCACACAGGGCCCAACGAAGAGAACATGCGCAAAGGAAAACATTCAACAAAAAATCCAAGTTGTCAAAGGGTACTGAAAATGGTACTACGTTACGCCTATGTCTTTCTGTCTCTGTCTGTCTGTCCATCCGTCCCTCTGTCCGTCCGTCTGCCTGTAACATATGCCCTCCGTTGCCAATTGCATCTGTTTGACACGTGTTTGGATTTTTTGACACGAGAGGGAATGAGACGCAGCAAAGCCCGAGCATTCCTTAGGCTAATGACTGGCATTGCAAAGCTGGCCCTTGCCCTCCGGCTCCTTGATGACCTGACCCCAAAAAAAACTGGACTGGAAAATTAACAAGTGTCACAATGCATATTGATGAATCATTTCCTTAATCATTTTGGGCCCAACTTAGAAGAATATACTTCAAGACTTCAGGACTTCGCAGCTGCCCCGTCCAATTCCGCCACCTGCCTCACGGCGACGGTAGGACTGGACGTAAGTCTCGTCGCAAAGAGTCCATTCGCTCCATTCAGTAAGTTCACAGTCAGAGCCTCGGCGAAAGCAGGAAGCTCATGGAAGGCCTCTACGGTACTCGCTCTAGCCTACAATTCCCACCTCCCAACTCCCAGAAGACCGAAAGGCAAAAGAACATACCTTGCCTGCAAAGCACGTTAGCACCTGAACTAAGACTAAGACTATTAAGAAATCATGGCCGCGTGACTTGACTCGCAGTTGCCTACCTCACACTCTGCAGTCTCCAACAGATCTAGATTGCAAGGCTCTCCACCATGGTGAGCCTCTGCGACAACATATCCTTAGTGGGGTGCTCAACACAGTTTTGCTCCAATGTCTGGCTTGCCACCTCCAGATCGGAAGTGCCGCCGGGCTTCGCATTCGTGTGTGCCTGCCTTTTCCGCAGACTGAACTACAGGTGGTCCATTCATGCCAATCCCCGACGTGGCAGTTGGTATCCTTTGGCCCACCACATGGCTTTGTCTCCTCGGGCCCGTGCTGAGCTTGATCGATTCAATGCGATTTAAATCTAAAGACTCGGCGGCGAGCCTTGACATTTCTTTCACTTGACTCCATCAAACTGGCAGTCTGCGTCCTCCAAGGCCCCTTCACAGTCTTTTCCACCTTCTTGAGGATAAATTACCACGGACCGATTCCTGAACTGCTGATCCTGTGCAAGGATTATCGCACCCTGAATGTCTTGCTAGTCTTATGTGAGGTACTCTTATACTGTCCACTGCAGCTTGAGTCCTTCTCATTCTGGCAGGTGCTCCACATGGCCCAAGATCCAAGTTTGCAGTCCTTTTTTGGCACACCAGTTTTGAAACGACTACATAAGACTAATGACCAAAAGAACTGATATACTGAATTACATGCCATGGGTGCCTTGGCAAGTGATTGTTTGGTCTTTGCAATGTCGCAGTTTTGGTTCTTAGCCAAGCATCTTGGCCCTTCGGCTTGCAGCTGTCAGCTTGCTCGAAAGAGGCGGTTTCAGTCAGAACTCCAAAGCAAGGCTTGCCGCAGTGATTGTGGTTGACCTAACAGGTCTTGGAGTTGTATCAGGTCGAGACTGCAGGACAGGATCCAGAATGCATCTCAATTATTTTTTGATATTTTTTGATATTAAGCCCTAAGCATCAAACAGATTTGGCCAAACCCTTCGACATCTGAAAACCATGCAAAACAGGCCTCCACCTCACGATGGCGCAGCTGTAGGCCCGTGCATCCACCTTGAAGCTGCCACGGGCTCCAAGGGCCCAGAACACAATCACGAGGCCTCAGTCAGATCGCTCAACTGCCGAAGACAGTTAGACAAGACTTGCCATCGAAGGGTGTGGTCCACCGCTTGACCGCGCATGCACAAAGGTTTTGTCCTCCTGTCCAACGGGTCACACAGAAGGATAACAACCACCCTAGTAGCGATGGCCTCCAACCTAATAGCAAAAGGAACCTCAGAGCGCTGGCCTCCACCCCAACCCTCCTATGCTGTTGGCTTCTTGCTGCTGTTCTGATGGTTTCTTGTATTGCTCGGAGGGCTAAGTGGGCGGGGGTGCAGGGTGCCGATGACATGTGTGAATCCACGACCACAACACTTCTTGCTGATGAAATTGGTTCGGGTCTCTCCCGGAATCAGTTTCTATGCAAGCGGAAGATCGACGATCGAATATTCTATATATTCCAAGTTAAGAATCTTCTAAGGTGGGCCTGACACAGCTTCAAACCGGCCCAACGACAGCGTCCCGCTGAGGTCCGCGCGTGCAGGGCCCGCACTTGTCAAGGTCTGAACAAAACAAAGAGTCGACTCTGTTCCAATCCGCTCTTGGGACTACGCAGCTTTCACAAGTAAACGCATGGAAATCGCAGGTTGTATCAACTACCAAACCTTCAAGACTCAACATCAAAGACTATCCGTCTATGACGGCCGATAGAGCAAGTTTGCAATGCCACAGTGCGCATGTGCTGCATGTGCCTGGGCAGTTGTCCCACTGCTCCTGGTATCCGTCACATACATGCTCCAATGGCACATAGTAGTCTCCGACCGCTTTCAGGTCGTGGACAACTGCCATTTGGCCATGACTCCTGCCACCAGCACGCAGCCAGACCAACACGAACAAAATATTAAATAGAACAAAGACTGTTTGCTGAATGCGGATAAGCCACAATTTCGACATCAGCAGGAATGCCAGCATGGCTGGCTTCCCTGCAAACAGGGAAGTCATCACCTGCAACGATGAAGTCAAGGTGAAGAGCGCCCAGCATTAACATCAGACAGTCCCACCTCTTCGGCTTCACGAAAAAGTGGAGGCTACACATGAAACACACCCTACCAAATCCCCCGCTTCAGCAACTAATGGCGGCGGTTCAAAACCAAAGAGGTTTGCTTGTCCTGGACGTGAATGCAAGACCACACCACAGTGGCGATTTTTGTCTGGATTTTGCCCTAGGGTACTCACATGCAGCTAGTATCGCCCTACTTAGTAAACTTTGCAGCACTCCATATGATCTCCACTCATCCGACTGGCTCTTGAGGGCGGCTCAGAGCCCGCCAAACGGTTACCTGACCGGCACATGCTCTCTGAGAGGGAAGAGGACAGGCATCGGAGATGGATGAGCACAGCCATGTTTTCATGCCGTGCAAGAAGCCACCTTTGGGTTGTAGTCCGATGCATGTGGCAAACCTTCCGTGGGAAGATTCTCCTGTGTCAAGGCAGCGGCTGCCTTGGTTTGGCGCCTCGGTTGGCATCAGGTGGGGCATTGCGTGCACTTTCTGAAGCCCTTTCGGTCCCTTTCATCATACAATTTCGACCGCCCGATTCTGCGCTCCGAACGAGGATAACCAACTGAGTTCCATGCAACTTTGAAGATTCGCCCTGGCTCGCAAACGGGTGTGGGATCCATGCGCTTCCCAATGGTCATTCTTGGAGATTCTTGTCCCGCAAAAGCAAATTTGGGTTCTTGAAATACTTGCGTATCGGACCCTGACTTTTCATGTCCATTCTATCTATCTATCCATCCATCTATCTATCTATCTATCTGTCTATCTGTCTATGTATCTATCTGTCTATCTGTCTATCCGTCTACCTACCTATCTACCTCTCTCCATCCACTTGTCTACCTATCTACCTATCTATCTGGAACCATGGGCGATTACACTGGTCTCCTCCCTTTTTGACAGGAGGTTGTTTTTTCCTTCTTCCTACCTATTTGGAATCTTGCCCGACCAGAATCTGATGTATGACATTTATGAAGAATTTCAGTTTCAGCCTTCAAATGTATGCGATTATGCGACTGCACGTTGCACTTTCAATCCTACATCCACTTTACATGTCATCCCTCTGCCATGTCAATCTGCAGCTACGAGGCGGAAGAGGAGGATGAAACAAGACACGGTGACAAGGCCTGCCGTGCTGGTGGCGCATTTTGTATCACGTTGTGCCCTAGCTGGCACAAGCCGCCTCGAAGAAAGCACCCTGAAGGTAGCATCTGATGTTACATGCGAGCCACTGCACCTGCATGTGCCCGACCCAGCCACCACTGGCAGGCGTGCGCTCGGCCAGTTCATGCCAAGCAGGCTGCAGCAAGCGGAGAGCGGAGGGCGGAGATGCGCACAAATGGCGGGGCAGCGCAGGTTGCGGCCCGCAGCAAGCAAACAAAAGGCCGGCGCGTTGGTGGCACGGGATCGCAGACAGGATTGCGCAAAGTTCTGCAGGGACAACAACAATCTGTTCAACCTGTCTTTACATGTCTTTACCAGCTTGTATTTGGGACCATCTGCGGCATGCACAACCCCCACAATGTACCCAGTATCCCAACCGTGACCCACTCCACGCCGACTCCACTCTTGTCATTTGTGACCACTCCTGCCAGCTTGCAGCCTTGAAAGGTCCTTCTGGCCTCCCTTGGATTGACAACTTTAAGTCTGCAGTGGCTTTCATAATCTTGTTTCACAGCAGTTCTTGGGGTTCTCTCTCTCTCTCTCTCTATCTCTCTATCTATCCATCTATCTATCTATCTATCTCAGCTCTATCTATCTATCTATCTATCCATCTATCCATCTATCCATCCATCTATCCATCTATCCATCTATCCATCTATCCATCTATCCATCTATCTATCTATCTATCTGTTGTGCCTTCGGACCACGCAGCCACTAAAGCGCTTTCCTCTCCATAGCGTGGCCCCAATGGTTCGAGCTGTTCGTCAGGTGCAGGTTTGGGATCAACCATTTTTCCATCAGTCGCTTGAGCTTCACAGCTCCTAGGTTTTTCCTTGTTCCCACACCGTCTGATTTCGAAACTGCTCTGTCCCGCTTCGCGGGCGGCTGCCCTCCGTTTCATCTGTTCTTCGGTCGGGCGGATGCTAAAAAGACCTGTCTTCATCAGGTCACGCAGGGCGGCATTTGAACCTTGGACTTTTGTTAGCCCATCAACCGGCATGGCCAAGTGATCGACCCATTTGATCTCTCCCCCTCTGGATCTCGATTGCGGTTTGTCTGTCCTGGCCCCCGACGCTGTCCTCTTTTGAAAGGTGGTCGTACAACGACCTTGCATCAACCACAGTCAGGGACTCCTCCAGGAAGCCCTCACTCGCTTCCGAGCCCATGACCAGCAGCTCTTCACCTCAAGGCGTTCACGCCAGGTTCCCGTCCTGGAGCTCCTGCACCATCACCATGATCCAAAGAAGCTCAGCCAAGCCTCGGGACAAGCTCTGAGTTTCGGCAGCGGGGGTCAAGTTAACGATCCTCTGTAGCTTCCCGCTCCTCCATGCCACAATGTTGGTCGGCACGGAGTGGCCATCCCAACTGGCTTTCATGCGCCAGAACCAGGTGACCCTCTTGTGAGTGGAATCCCCTGTTGGCGGAGGAGGCATTGGTCACCACACTGAGTGGCATTCTTTTGAGCGGTTGGATCTGCGGTGTCCTCCACGGTCAACTTCGACAATTTCGACACCATCAGGCTTGAAGGTCCTGAAGCGTCTGGACGGCCTTCACGGCTCAACCAGTTCAGAGCCCCACAGACAGCTCTGGCGTCGCTGATCTCATTTTCCGTGGTCCGTGGCCTTCGACTTCTTGTCTGCTCGTCGTCCTCGTTCCAAAGACACTTGGTTCAGGCGCTTCTCAATGAACTTCTGCATGTCCAGCAAAAAGCCCCCTTGCAGGTGCACATATTTTCCAAAGGTATACCTTTTCCGGAGCAGCTCCATCTTCCGGCGGTGTTCGGCGTGGCCAACGGTGAACAAGTCATCCGCCTCAATGGCGATTGCTCCTAGAAGTTTGGTACGAGCCTTGTTGTAAAGCTTCATGACGCAAGGGTCCAATGCCGACTGCTCGTACCCTAAGGCTTGCAAGTCTTCGGTCAAGGAGCGACGCCAGTGCAAAGGTGCGTCCACCAGTCCATAGCACCCGGCTATGGTATCATGACTATCTGTTCGGGGTGAAGCCCAACCACCCCTTCCTTCAGCTGCTGAGGCTGGCTTTGGCAGAATGCATTCTTCAGGTCGCCTACTGTGGCTGACATCCCTTCATTGGCTGCTAGCTGCAGAATCACATTGAAGTTCACCGTGTTCAAGGTGGGCGAAAACCTCTCCAGGTCCAGGATGTCCGGATCTAAATCCCCTGATGCGTAGCCTGGATTTCTTCGTCGGCGGCTCTCCAGGTTGCTCTCCTGGCATGTACCTCCTGGCGATCTTTGTGGGGAGGATCCGGTCTTCTTGTCCTTGTTGTCGGAGCTCGGTCCTAACTTGTCGCGACGTCTCCAGATCTAGTGCCTGGACTGCTCCACTCTGAGTGACCCTCCACTCTGAGTGACCTGGTTCCATTCTGAGAGGTCTGAAATTTTCCATTGTTCTTTGTCACGGTCGCTCTCCTTGGTTAGGCTCACCTCATCTTGCCCACGCTTCTCCGCCACGTAGTTCCGGGCGTCTTCGATGTCCTGGATGTAGAACGTGGTGTGGCCCCGCCACCATTCCTCCTTGAACTTCACCTTGGGAAGATGCCAGTCATCTTCTTCCGCTGGCGGCCCACTCTGGTTCTTGACATGAGTCACCCTCTTCTCCATGAGCATGGTATGGGGTATAGGCGAATCCCGACTGTAGATTGGGTCGAACTTTGCCTTCCTCCTCCTTTGGTGATGTCTCACCAGTTCAACTTTCCCCCAATCGACCGTCCAGAAAGTCTTTCTCCTTCTTCAGGTTTATGAGTTTCTTCAATGTGGACTCCCGGGCCAGGTCTGTCTCTTCGGTGCACTCTTCCTCCTCCGCCAGGAACCATTCAGCCCGCTCGTAGTATGGTGCCAAGTGATCATGTCTTCCTGCTCGTTGTTGCCAACGATAGATTGGGCCATTTGGTGGGTTGGCCACACCATCCAAACGATTGGCACGTTCGTCAGACCTCCTGCGATGGTTCTCGGTGTAGCCGGGGTTCCTGGTCTTGGTGGTGTCTCTGGTACTCCCCAGTCTCACTGCCTGCACGGGATAAAGGAGCTTCTTCTTGCTCTGCTTCTTCTGGAGGAAACTCTTCCATGGTGATGTCCTTGAAGCCCGTTTGGTGAGACCCGCGCTTGAACTCTTCTATGAGTTCTTGGCATTCACTGGTCACTGCCTCGATCCCCGCGCCACCTTCCACAGTGCCCCCATCATAGACACCCACAGGTTCGCCCCGTCTGGTGTGACGACGACTCCTGGACCCACCCCATCTGGCTTTGGTTGACGAGTTCGTGTCGTCGACGACGCCGCCGTTTTAGGCAAGGCACACGGCACACGAACGCGTACTCTCCAGCTCGATATTCGGTCCAGGTTCTTGGTCGTGCTCTGAGGGCTTTCTGGTATAGGTGTTCTTGGCGTTATGTTCACAGAAAGCTTTGTGGGCCACTCTCCTCATGTGGCGCAAGCGCTCGATGTCGTCCCAGATCACCCCGTCGAGCAGCGTGGGATCCACCATCTCATCAGATAGGATGATCGCAGTTGCATGGAAGCCTGGGCCATTGTCCGATCTGTGGTTGGTGAAACCGGACCGCCGGTTTGAATACCGGTTCTTTGTCTGTTCGACTTCAGCTCCTTCGCGTCCTGCACGACCACCTCGCTCCGAGCCTTCTCCAAAAAGTTCCTTGAAGCGCCCACCATGGCGCTCGGTCTTTCCTTGTTGCCACGGAGCCTTGGAGGCGATCTGGTGCACAACGATGCCCTCTGCGGCCGCCTTCTTGATGAACTCACCGAGACAGGTGATGACCTCTGGGGGCCCAAACGTCCTCGCCCAGGTGGCCATGAAGGCATCCCATACCTTCTCGAGGTGTTTCCGGTGATCACCTCACACATCTGGTAGTTGGTGCCCCAGTCCAAGATGTTCAAAACCGGGGCGGTCTGCTTGCCGTCTCCCGGCGCTGGGACGTAGAACAGGTCGAGGCCTAGTACCCGATTTGGTTGGTACGCACGAGGTAACGCAGTCGGCCTTGGAATTTCGGATGTTGTTTGGCCTCGCAGATGTCACACTTGAACTCTTTGGAGGCCCACTGCACGATCTCGCCCGGCACCCTGGCGGCCCGTAGGAATCTCACAAACTCCCTCTGTTGAGGATGTCCCACGGCTTTGTGGACTTTCATCACGCCCTCTTCTCTGCTTCCGAGATCTCTGCATAGCCGGGGCATTCATCTTCCACTGCGCCCGGCTCATCTTCCTCCTCGTCCTCGACATCCTCGAGGACATAGCATGCTGGAGCTGGCTTTCCGAGGTACTCGACAATGGCCTTGGCGACTGCCTGGCATAGTCTGTCTGGGTAGACCTGCGCCCATTTTGCTTTGCCTCCAATGAGATGTTGGTGATGATGGGTCTGGTCGCAGCGAACGTCCAGAGCCCTGAGAACTGGAGGCATGTTGGAAAGCCAGCGAGTCCTCATTCATCCCGAACATGCAAGATCTTATGCATTGGTCGCATACCACTGTCTTGACACCGTGGCCGCCAGCGACTGGAGCTCGGGTTCTTGCCAAGAGGTCGCTCCATCAGGATGTTCGAACAGAATTGCACCCCCACGCCTCAGCTGCCACTTCAGTGTCCAGTTGCCATGCTTGTCGATGCTCCAGAAGGTCTCCTGCGCGTGGTACATGGGGTCTTGGCCTGCCTGAGCCCTCCGTGCCCACCGGATAGTCTTCCGATGGTTGCACTTGACCCAGCCATCTTGCTCTATAGTCCTCGTCCAGGTTGACCGGCTTCTCGAGGTCCCGACTGCTGGTGACAGACACCCTCGACCAGCTCTGGCACAGTGGTGATGTTGCATCCCTCCTTGGTCTCTTGGACCGCCTTGAATTGTGGGATGAAGTCGCCGTCTTCGCATCCTCGATGTCCAGCTGGTCCTTCTCGTCCATGCACTCGAAGAAGTCGCACCGCCCCTGACACACTTCCAGAACATCCGGCCCTTGCGGGGACCGTCCTTCTTCACCACCAGTGGTTATTCGGCCGGCTTCCCACATTGGCAGTTCCTGCTGATCCTCGGTGGTGGAGATCGTCGTGAGCTGGCATTGCTGAAGTCGCGAAACATGAAGTCTCCAGTTCAAATTCTTCTTGAAGTCCCGCTTCCGGTGGCACAATGAACTTGTTGTTCGCAGATGAAAGAACGTTGACTGTCACATGACCGCTAGCCATCCCATGAAGTGGAACTGAAACACCGTGAGACTGAAGCGTCATGCTCATGTGCTTCAAATCGGTTGTGACCGCGAGTGCGCGAAGGAGTCGAATCACCTTGAACGACTGTGGTTTCAAGAACACCGTTGACTCCCCCGATACCCAATGGTATCAATGCAACGCACTCGACCACAGCACTGCCCCCTACTCCTTTGGCAGAGGATTGTTTGGGCACCCATTTGATTCGAAGTCCTCGAACTGCGACTTTTGTGGTTATCCCGCAAAATGGAACGTCGCCCTCGTCGACCATACATGCCCGCTTCATGTATATCTCCACGATCTTCAGCGACAGGGCCCTTGTTGGCTCGCTGGTCTTGAACAAATTGGCGAAGCCAGAACTGGTGCGGCTCACTCGAAAATTTCTGGCCCTCAGGGTGTAGTCCAACAAAGAACGCTTGACCTTCTGCCTTTGCTGCTTGAGATGCTCGGGGATTTTGGCATTCTCTCTCCCAATGCCCGACCTGACCTGCAAACATCGCCTGCAGCGGGTCCTCAACTTCAGCTGCTCTACATGCACCCGGCGCTTGCCTTTGCCCTTGCCCTTCTGAAAGGCGTTGATCTTGCCTTTGCCCTTGCCGGGAAAGTAGCCCGGGCCAAACGCAGATCCTTCAGCGCCTGACGGGTATCGGTATCATTGTAAGCGGCCAGGGCCTGCACGACCTCTTGCTCATCCATCACTTCATCAAGGTCTCCATCCGCGAGGTAGTTGTACAGTAATTCTCCTCGTCTCCAATCCATCCTGGTAGCCGTCATCGTCCAGGTCATAGTGGCCACCGGAGGCATTCTCAAGGACATAGTTCTCCTCGTGAGAAAAAAGCACGCAATTAGCATCCTTGTGTGGAGGGGGTCTATACACGGTCACCCCTGCCCACCACTGTACAAGTGAGACATAAAGAAGGAGCACCGATGCGGAGAAAACCTAGCAGGAAAAGGGGCCACCCAAGTCCCTCAACCTGGGCGGCATTGGCAAAAACCCAAAGCCCCAGCCGTCCAAGCAACCACGGCTTGCGCCAGTTGTTGGAAGCAGGGGCTTGCAAAAAGGGTTCAAAGGCCCAAGATGGGAACGCACCGGAAAAGAGCGGCGTCACCCACGCCCCTATTCAGAAAAAGCCAGGCAAGGGTAAACCAAGGGCGCGATCCCCTCACTGGCAGATGGGCCGAAGAAAGAATGGCCCGCCACTCTCAGGAGCCGAAGCGCTGCACAGCATCCATTCCAGGTGCCAGGGCCAGCCCCATCCGGCGGCGAAGCACAGCTCGAGCCCGATGCGTACGCGCAATCACGCACATTTCCTGCAAGAGCCGGCTGTGAAGTTGCGAAACATCCTGGCCGGTTCGTAGAGCCACAGCTCCCGAGATCCTGCGGAGGAGGGAGGCGGCCTCCGCCTCCCACGCGCCAGTTGTTTCCAAGACCAGCGGTCGGAAGATGCCCTGCCGGGCACACTCCGCTGCTGCGCCAAGGTGGGCAGCCTTGGTCTGGGCATAGGCTGCTGCTGCCGCGGTGGCCACTGCGCCAGCTTCGCTTAAGCTTTCCGACCGCAGAGGCGCCGTAACGGCGAGGTCAAGGGCGGTGGGGCCCATGATGGATGGTGCCCCCAATGTGATGCGGTCTTGGACAAGTTCTCCTACCACTCTGCCAGCTGTGTGGCTGGGGGTGAGCGTGTCCAGCGGCACAATGCCCTGCATGATCACTTGTTCTTATGGACTGACCTGGCTGGGCTGAAGCCTGAAAAAGAGAAGCCTGGGCTTCTCTTGCCCCACGACGAGAGTGTGGCAGCCATCGCCTGCAGACATTTTCCTCAGCCTTCACTGGCTTTAGCCTCGGTCATTCCCAGGCGTTGGCTCAGTTCGGTGATGAAGAGAGCTGGCTCCATTCGCGTTCGTCCACTCGGCGTCGCGGCCAGGAACGCGCGAGCTCCCGCCTCAGCTTCAGATCGCAGGATTGCTTGGGCGGCCAAGGTGGAAGACGCTAGTTGTCGTGTCCAGGACGCCCGGTCCAGCTGCTGGGTTAAAGCTTTTTGTTTCATCCCGAGAGCTGTCGCCAAGGTGAGATTCTCTGATGTTCCGAGCTGGCTGTTGTAGATGGCCAAGGCCGAAGCCGCGTGGCTGTCTGCCACCAGTGTGTAGGCCCCATCCAGCCCTACGCATGCTGTCGAGCTGCCTCCAAGGGAAGCCAGGTAGGCCGCGGCGCTGTCTGCAGCTGCGCTTCGGAGGCCCAAGCCACCAAAGCCTGGGCTGCGGGAGGCTTGCTCCCATTGTTGAGGTTCAGGGTGTAAACCAGTGAAGGCTTGGAAGCAACTGCGAACCTGTACGTCAAAGTTGCGGAGGGCTTCTTGCTGTCACTGTGGACCTGGCGGGGCACAGCGAAGGCTGTGGAGCAGCTTGGAATGCCCCGCAGCTGTTCGCAAGAGGCGGAGGCCAACTTGAGGGTCATCGATGTCAGCAACCGCATCCAAGAGTTGGCTGGCCCCCTTCAGTGTGCTGGGCGCAGAAGGCGTCGTCGCCGACTGGTGCCCCAAGTACTTCGAAGTGCTTGGCAACCCGAGTGCACCCACTTTGATCTTGCAAAAGCGCTAGGGGGAAGTATCGTTGAAGGACTGTATCTGGTGCGCCAGCCATCGCAATCACCTCTGATTTGCGAAGGTTCAAAGTAAGCCCAAGGGCGGCAGCCCGTTGCTGCAGGTGGAGCAAGGCGGCTGACACCGCCGCCACGTCGCCTGCGAGGACCCCATCGTCCAAGTAGAACATCCCAATGTCGAGGCCACGCCGAAGTTCCTGAGCAAGGCTTTGTATGGCTGCAGCGAAGAAGAGAGGTCCAAGCGGGTCGCCCTGCTGCACGCCTCCAGCTGAACACGACACGCATGACATACAGTAGCTGCTCTTGCCCTTGTCCTTGTCCCGGATGACCTGTCCAGCCTTCGGAGCGCATGCGTGATCTCCGAACGGCCATACTTCCCTTCCGCCCAGGTGAGAAGCCGTTGTTCTTGCGCTTCGTTGAGAGCGGCCTAGCGGAACATGATGTAGCCGCAGCCCTTTGCACCCATAGGGCAAGTCCACCCCTTCCTTCGCCAGGTTCATGAACGCCCGCTCCATGCGCTTGGTGCACTCAGTGAAGCTCTCTTTGTGGCCTCTTTGCGGGCCATACGCCGCCGTCTCGAAAGCTCGTGGCAGCGACACTTCCAAGTGGGGCAGGAAGTACTCGCGAAGCTTGTTGAGGACGTTCTTCACGCCGTCCTCGCATGCGATGTCCTTCACCTCAAGCTCGTCGACAGCGACTGCTGCCACCCCAGTCAGCTGGCGCAGCAGCTTTACGCCCCGCTTTGCTTTGGCCACTTCTGCTTCAAATTCCCAAAGCTGCACCTGCTTCTCACACTGCCGGAAGGTCGTCTCCGGGGTCTCCCCGTCGTAGCCCGGCGCGAAGTCCCTCTAGCGCCCCGAGCCCCCAGCCTCTCTGGTACCCGTCGTACTCGCACTCGCAGCAGCAAAGCGTTCAGGCCCTCGGGATTCGTGTTCTTCTCCTCCACTCATCTCGAAACTCTCGCACTTCCCGGATCAAAGCACCTCGGCTCCGCGGTACCACTGTTGTACCCTCGGACCACGCAGCCACTAAAGCGCTTTCCTCTCCATAGCGTGGCAAAAGCTCGAAAAGGGTTGGATCAGGATACGGCCCCTATGGCCCTATGGTTCGAGCCGTTCGTCAGGTGCAGGTTTGGGATCAACCATGGTTCCATCAGTCGCTTGAGTTTTACACTATCTATCTATCTATCTATCTATATATCTATCTCCAAACTGTCTCTGCACTTCTCATCACTTCTCTAACATCTGCCTCCCACGCAACAACGCCTCAGCCTCACTGCTTCTACTGTACATTCTCTCTCCTCCCTTCGTGTTCCTTCTTTTCTCTCCTTTCCCTCTTCTTCTCTAATTTACACGTCTCTGCTAACTGCTACAGTAACTGTTGGGGACTCGGGGCAAGCCGTCGACCACAACGATAGCTTGTACAGGCAGGTCAGGCCTAATAAGCAGTGCACATCGATGCAAATCACGCTGGTGATTGATTGCGGTGGTGCTTTCAAAACCAAGCCTGCAGTCTTTGAAGGCCTGTTGGTTTGGGAACCCAATGTTGAATCGTCTCCTGACCCTGGCGGCCACTCCATTGCATCCCACCCACAGCTGCCTTTGTCGCGATTTTCCTGAAGTCAGCTGCCTGTAGGTGGGTCTAGAAGTCTGGAAGTCTGGCTCTAGTCGGTAAGAGGTTGTCATTAAGCTTCAAAAATTTATCATGCAGGAGCCAGTAAGCATCCAAACCAAGTACAGCTCCAGGAACAGCATTCATTGTCACACACTTCGCCTGCTGCATCGCCCGAAGAACAGCATCATCCTGGCGCTTTTGGTCAGCAAACTTCCAGCTTGGAAACCAAATACTACGGAACAACGTGAACTAAGTGTGCACATTGTATCAGTGGTTGGGAGCACTGCGGCTAGGGTGTCCTTGGCTGGAAGTGTCATGCCAGGCGTCGGCATACGGAAGGAGGTCTTGTAGGAGTTGCGCAGGAGTCCTTCGAGATTGCAGAACATACCGCCAATGGCTCTCTTTGCAGCACGCAATACTTCGTTTGTCCTTCCACCCGAGTGCTCGCACCAATAGCGACAAAGAGCTGCTGGCAAACCTCAAACAAGTCCGGTGGATACTGCTGAATATTCAGGCTCTCCAAGGGAGCAGAACATGGATAGCAAGGGCTCACTCATCCTAAGCCACAGCCCGGTGCCTGATCTGGCCGCATGAGGAATCTCTGAAAAGGATCCAACATCCTTGCCCCACAAGCTTGACCATATCTTCAAGATCTCAAATATGTTGCATCAAACAAAATGTTCAGTACATTGTCTATGTCTCTTCCCTGCCTTTGCATCTGCTCCTTGGACATTGTGGGTGCAGCTGGTCCAGAAACAGGTGGCTGGCCCCATTGAGAATCCGGGATTGTGGGCATCATGGTGTACCTGGAAAAGCTTTGAATTCTTGGCACTCGAAATGTTTGCGTCTGAGGCTCCAACGTGGGTGGCATTGTGGGAGACATCTGGCCAAATGCAGGCTTTGGCAAAGCCCCTCCCAGAACCAGCGGCGGGCGATCTGGAGCAAAGCACTCCGCATGCAAAACCACTCCCTCATGTCTTTTGGTTCGAACACAGCCAAACGCCTAGGGGAGGAGGATCTGGTATGTTTCGCAGTGCCAAGGCAAAGAGCTTTCCTGAACTGGCTCAGGTCTTCACAGAAAACCTGCTAGCCTTGAACGGAGGAACACTTGTGAGGAGGGATGACGTGAGGGTTCATTGAAAGAATTACTTTGACAAAAAAGTTGCAGCTAGTAGAGCATCGGAAACGGCTAGAGTAGGACAATGAGATGAGAAAAAGGGGTGGAGTGGTTCAACCCAGGGTACAACATGTGAAAAAAATGAGACCACGCAAAGTTCGGTAAAGGTTACAGCGTACAGATTCAGTGAGAATTCATGAAGGACGAGTGCTCAAGCAAACCATCCAAGCCCAGCAGCGGCGAAAGAAAGAATAGACTCAACAAACCAAACTAAACCTGCAGTTTTTCAAGGGTCCCCCGACCCCCCCGAGCTTGCTTTTCTTTGGTTGCATTGCCTTTAAGCACAACACTGCTACCTGCTAAAAGTGATTTGCCCTCCAGAACGCATGTTCAGTTCAAGAGACAGAAGTCTGAGGTGCAGCCAGGTGTCCAATGCCAATGCAACTGCGCTCAGTCCAATCCGGGCGGCCTAGCAAAATGCTGAGCTTCGCTTGCGCAAGAGTGAGAGAAACATAATATACAAATTCATATTCAATACATATTTATATATATATATATTTACTAATACATACTAATACCTATCTATGTGTATGTGAACAGTATTCCCAAACGGCCTGACAAAGCCCGACAGGGCACAACATGTTTTTTCTCGCCGTGAAGAGGTTGACTTTGTGTCCAGCTGGTTCGATTTGTGTCCAGCGTAGCAGTCGAGCCCTGACTGCTCTCAACAGGGCCTGCTGAGCCAGCAATCATCCATTCGTACATAGGACTTGTGGGCTACCCACAGGTGTCCAAGGGTGAAACATTTCTTCCGAGCTGTTGGTTTCCAAAAGCTTCGGATGTTGGCACTGCTTTGAAAGGGAATCATGCACCATCATTGAATGCTCACAAATCTTTACATCTAAACCTTTGGTCCAAAGGCGGGTTGGCATATAGGGAGGCGACTTCCATCTTTATCTTTTGAATTGCGCGATCCATGTATCGATAAAATTTATCTTGGCTTTTGATCATCCATTCCTGGTCCTGCAAAATCTTGCCGACATCAATTGCAGTAGCTTGGCCACGCAGCCGCAAGCAACCCATCAAAAATTCCTCTATCTCAACTGAGCCTCCAGCATCAGCGTCCAGCAACTTGAAGAAGGACCATGCATCCCAAACATCCAGTCCAAGGGTTGCAAAATACTCTTGGACTGCAGGAGTGTTGATTTTGTCGTGGAACATTGCGTACGTTATGCCTCCATGTTCTTGAGATGACATTTTGCTAAAGAGTGCGCGGATCTTCTCCAAGTGCGCCTCCTTGTCATCTAGGATTGATTGTACCATCATCGTATGATCGCTTTTCGCACTATCTATGGCGCTCTGGCAAAAAGTCGCCGTTACCTTAGGGCAGTGTCAAACGGGGCCTGATTCTTGTGCACCTGAGGCCTTAGCCGCCTTAGCCTTTAAAAAAATGACAAATAGACTTGCCCAACCTGGCCCAGCTGCAACATTGAGGACCTAGCTTGTCAGCACACCCCAGGAAAGTAACTCAATGCAACCAAATCTGACTCACAGGAAAAGAAAATTTGTCCAACAGCTTCAATAGCCAAGGATCAGCAAAATAGGTAAAGCCTATGTAGATCAGAAACATGCCAGACCATGCAGGTGAGATTTCCCCAAGTGGACCGATGACTTCTTCCCAGCTGACACCGCCAGCAATACTCATGAACAGGCTCAACATTGTGGTCGGCAGATCCACAAAATACCTGTGGCAAGCCAGGCGCTCCCTGTCCTGCAAAGAGGAGCAATCAAAGTCATTAACACTCTGAGCAAACAGCACCGCAAACACGTAAATGATCAACGTCAGCAGCACTGTCGCCCAAAACAGGGACTTTAACGTCGAGGCAATAGATGTGATCATCGTACGCAGGGCCATGACAAAGCGGAAAAGGCGCATGATCCTCACGGTTCTGACAACGCGAGTAATTCGAATGATTCGAAATGCTTTGAGGCTGGAGGCGCCGGCAAGGCTTTGCAAATCCTGTTGAAGGAGTTGATTGCTGACATCGACCCAAACTTCCCAGATTGAGCTGACGACTATGAAAACATCCTGAGGCACAAATCGAGATCATGGATGCAATCAGGGGCGTGAGATTGTGTAGAAACTCACAAACCTTTTTAAACCCTATGGCTATGGCTGCCAAGAAGCCAATATGTTCCAATGCCAGTCGTCAGTGCAAAAGAACTGGTAGCCATCAGCAGACATTCGCAAAGCCAACTCACAGGTGAAAAGGACCGTGTAGAAATATTGGCCAATTTGCAAGCCCAAGGGTCGTGGATCTGAATGTTTCAAGCTCACCTCCAAATCGATGCCGATGAAAACCGCATTGGTCACCACAACACATGCAAAGAATGCATCGAAGCCAGGATGCCGAACCAACTCAGACACCCAAGAGTTCTTTCTGCACCGTTGGTGACTAGCGTTGGTGAAAGTTGATTGCCCCCGCGCATTGGCAAATTTCTTTCGACTGAGCTTCGCATCAACTGAGAGAGTGCCCAACTTTAGCTGCTCGTCGAAGGCCGCGAAGGTTGTATAGTCCTCTTGCGGGTCATCCTGGCCAACCGCAAAAATAATCCTTTCCCCAAATCTTGTCTTGGTCTTCTGCCTCTATGTATGAGCAACTGCCGTGAGTGGGGCACTGTACATACCAAGAGGGAACATTTTATCACTGCCGCCATAGGTGATTACGAACCCTCCGCTACTATTCATTGTCACCCTTCGCCCTGACAAACTGCATGCCTCCTATTGGGGGACACCTGCACGTGTCTGTGTGTGTGTCTCTTTGCACAATAGGTTGGAATGAAGTCAAGGGTCATCTGCCACCGGGTGCGGGGCGCCTTTTCACACCCAAGAAAGAGAAAGAAAACCATTGGCAATGTGGCGATGCACTCTTTGCGGGAGCTGGTGCTGCAAATGCAAGCAGACATAGAAAAGCATGAGCTGGTGTATAAATATGTAATGGATTGTAATGGTATATAGGTTGTTTTGGTTTTAAAGGGGGAAACTATATATATATATACAAAATACAAAGGTGCCATTTCAAGATAAAAGACAGCAAGGTGCAAGGAAGCAATCTTGAACTAGACTAGAGTCTAGAGTAAGGTGGTCGAATCTAATTGCTAAAGGCTTGCTGTAGGTCATGAGGTTGTGAATATGCACCCACCAAAACCCGAAGCATTTGGGCCTGAGAAACCTCCTCGGCTTTGACTCTGTCCGACGCCTGGCGGGAATACGAGGTGCCAACAAGGTGTGGGTGACCCCGCATTCTTTCCACGTTACTAGCGATGGCCTCCATCCTAGTTGCTCTACCCAAAGAAGGACATGAAAAAATATCCCAGCAATCCCATGGCCTGTCTGGATGTAGGATCAGATGCAGAGAGGCTGTCTGTAAGGCCCTCCATCCAAAAGCTTGGGCTTGAGGGTGAACTTGCATATGCATAGGGCTGTAGGAAAGATTCCGAAATAAGCTTCTCTAATGCAGTGAACCGCTTCTCCAGCTCCTTCAGCACCTCCTAAAGCAGCCCCCAGGAATGAAATCCATGTCTATGAAATCCATCTCTATGTCTATGTAATCCATAAATAAGGAGGTCTTACATGCTCTTGCTCTTCTGGCCCTCTCTCTCTCTCTCCCTCCCTCCCTCCCTCCCTCTCTCTCTCTCTCTCTCTCTCTCTCTCTCTCTCGCTCCCTCTCTCCCTCTCTCCCTCTCTCCCTCTCTCCCTCTCTCCCTCTCTCCCTCCCTCCCTCCCTCTCTCTCTCTCTCTATCTCTCTTTCGCGCTCTCGCTCTTCTAGCCAAGCTCGCACCACCCGTCCTGGTGCTGATTTTGGGACAACGAACGGAGAGCCACCAGCTCCTCCGTGGGCTCCCTACAAGCCGCCTGAATACACTGGCACGTCAATACAGCAAAAGCTTAGTAAGTCACATCTGAAGAACTTTGGAGGATGTTGTGCCTTGTCTTGCCCTGGGCCTGCTGCCATGGCTCTCTTTTCAAGCCTTACCCTTAAATGGGGCACGTTTGCTCGGCAAGGCTTATATATATATGTATTGTTAAAATCATGGAGGGAGTGTCTACACACTGCCATTCTTCGAGGTGGTGCCTTGCGCCAAGCGATTCTGCAGGTAGCTCTGTCGGGATGTTCATGCCTTCTCAGCTACTGGTTTGGAGGTCGCTTGAGCTCAAAGCGCGGTGTGGCAGGCGAATCAACCCGTGTGCTGCCAGCCACCCACATACCACCCAAGTCGGACCAGTTCCCAATCATCTCCTGACTTTGAGCATGGCCTCAACAATTCCCAGCCGTCAGCATCTTTAACAATTTCTAGCCCAAGAAACACAAAATCTATATCTTCGGCACCCATCTGCTCAAACGGTACGGTCACTGTTGAGAAAGGCAAACATTAAGCAACCACAGTGGAAAAGTGGCGGTGCATCAATGCCCTGCCCCTCTTTCTCAATGCATCGATTCTCACACACTGCACAAAACCAGCTTAGCTGGGTAATTCTTCGTGCACATCAGGCTGTGAAACACCACTAGAATTGTATTAAAGCTCACGGGATCGAGCTGTTTCCTTTGACCCCTTCCGCCGGCCAAGCGGACGTGAGGCAAATATCTCCGACAAGGCAAAAATATGCCCCTTCAATGCATGGAGCTCTTCCTCAACGTACGCCTGGAATTTGCTTTGGCTCCTTCAATCCAGAAATTTCATACGTAGCTCAGTCACATTTAGTTTGGTTTGCTGAACTAGGCTGCAAGTACTTTGTTTTTTATAGTTATAACCACCACCGCCAACCGACATCCTATAATCCTAGCAAGGTCACACCGGGCAAAGGGGACTCAACGCGCATTTGACAAAATCTAAGGATCTAGGACCCTCATAACGCCCCCAGGCCCAGGCAGTGCTTTACTAAGCAATGTGCGCACCAAAAAAATGTTCTACAATTAGTTTGATCGATTCGTTTCACGGCCGATGGGCAACAACATGGCAATGCCGGCAATACGTGACCTTGATCATTTATCAGCGGTGTCGAGGTTTGATTCCAACAAGTTCTTGTGTTCAAAATACTCAAGTTTGCAGCGTCCTTATCAGCCATTGCTGATCTTGAAGAACCTTGCCCACTTCGATTGCTCTGGCATGGCCACGAAATTTTAAGCAGCCTCTGAAGAATTCCTGACCGCTAAAAAACCAAGTTTGAACATGAGACGGGGCTTTCTGCAGAACCGAAAGCTTAACAAAACAATGTTCAACAAGGCACCTCAGGTTCCACAAACCCGCCGCCATCTGCATCCAGCAACTTGAAAAAGGACCATGCATCATACACGTTGATGCCCAAAGTTTCGAAATACTCGCGCACTGCTGGATCGTGCATTTTCTCCTCAAATGCGTAGAACGTAATGCCTGCTTCGTCACCAGCCCCTAACTCTGCGAACAAAGTTCGCAGCCTTTCCACGTGAGCCTCTTTGTTGTCAATCAGCGATTGTGCCACTGTAAGGTGGTCATTTTGTGCACTTTCTATGGCGCTCTGGCAGAACACCCCAGTTACCTCAAGCGAGTGAGCAGCAGAGAGAGAGAGAGAGAGAGAGCAAGAGCGAGAATTTTAACGGTATTTTAACGTGTGGCAACCCAAAAACCGGGCAACACACCAAGCAGGGGCCTCTGGAGGCGATCCGTCGCAGGCCCGGCCAACCAGATTTTTTTCGAGTGATCCCCACCATGACATTGCAGAACTTTGGTTTTCATTCCACGGTGGGAAACAAACATTCACTACAAGTATCGACACAGTCCAACGCAGGCCCCTTCATAATACAAAAGTGTATGCCACAAGCTCCATTGCAGACTCACGCAGGTCTCTTGTCTAAAGCGAAGCCTTTTGTGAAACACATGCCCGGCTAACTCTGCAATTTCAAACGGCTGGCCGAACCTACAGTGGGGGCGCTATATGAGATTGTTACCAGCGGTGCTCAATCACTGCTGAGGGCGCGAGCGCGCCCCGAGAGCGCAGCGTGGGCGCCCAGTGTGAGCGCACACGAGCGCGCAGCAAGAGCGCCAGCGAACAGGACATTATGGCAGTAGCAGTTTTCAAAAGGCTGGCCGTATGCGTAGTGGGACGGTTGGAGGCAGGAGCAGCCCGGAGCGCGCAGTGTGGATGCCCATTGCAAGCGCGCAAGAGCGTGCAGCAAGGGCGCCAGCACACGAGGTATTGTGACTAGGAGTGTCGCAGGGCCCGGCGAAAGCCAAGTCATGCAAACGAATACAAAGTTTAGACGGTGCATTGTGATTACGAGTGCTGCAAATGCGCTGAGGCCCTGTTGCTTATCAAGTCACGAAATGTAGGCAAATCAATTTTTAGACGACGCGTTGCGATTACGAGTGTTCCACAGGCGAGGCGCCGGGCCCACACTTGTCAAGTCATAAAATGAAGGTGGTTGTTGGGCGCGCTATATGAGTTTGTTTTCAGTGGCGCTCAACCATTGTGTTTGTGGCTGTGTGTTTATGGTGGTCAGTTTGTGGTTGTGCGTTCGTCGTTGTGAGTTTGCGGTTGCGTGTTCATGATTATGTTTTGTTGGTTGCGTATTGCGCTTGTGTTTGTGGTTGCGTGCTTGTTGGCTGTGTTTGGTTGCTTGTGTGTTGTGTGTTGTGTGCGTGGTCGCGGTTGCGTATTTGTGATTGTGTGTTTGCGCTTGTGTGTTTGCGGTTGTGTTTTGTTGGTTGTGTACTGTGTGTTGCGCTGTGTGTTTGTGGTTGTGTTTTGTTGGTTCTGTATTCTGCGTGGTGTTTTTGTGGTTGCGCGCTTGTGGTTCTTGTGTTTGCGGTAGCGCTGCGGCCCCTGGGCTTGCTGTTGAGGTCCAGCAGTAGTGCCCACTGCCATCTAGAGCTTGCTGTTGAAGTCCACTACAGCCCACTGCCATCTGGAGCTTGCTGTTGGGGTCTGGCAACAAGAAGGAGCGGAGTACGCCATACAAGAAAGCAACCCTCACCTGACAGGCGGTGAAAAAAGGATTGAAAAACAAAAACCAACTCGAACCGGAATAAAAAGGCCACAGGCGGACAGGGACTGCAAGCCAACGCTACGCCGAAAAAGCGCCAGCGCCATGACGAGAAGCCTACAAATTCCGCTGCGCCACAGCAAGCCAAGACTGTAGCGATTATCGCAACATATCACAACCGGTCAATGCCCAACCAAAATGAGCGCGCAGAAACTCGCTGCGATGCGGTGCAACAGGAACATGCGCCGGCCGCCGGGGACCAGACCCAGCGATATGATCAGAAGTACCCACGGCGCGACAACCAGGCCAGAAGCAACGATCGGAAGAGCCAGCAGCGTCCCGACCAGCCAGCTGTAGCCGAAGAGAAGGAAGAGCCACCGCAAAACGCACGCGCTCAGGGCACAAAGCAACCATCGATTGCGCTCAATTTAGCCGAATTGCAAAAATAATTCAAACGCGCATCCCGACGATGAGAGGCGACATGCTGCAAAAGGCACCAACTGCGCCAGCGCCAAGCCTGACAAACCAGATGCTGACGAGCACCAGGATAACCAACAGCAAACAAATGTGGTGCCAAACTCATGGGCGAAGCGCCCACCGCGAGAGACCAGCCAAGCAAACAAGGCCTAAACAGGAGAGCGCCCTGAATCAGACCAACCAACAGAGTCCCAAAAGGGTATCCAAATGGATGCGACTATGCCACCACAAAACGGAGCAGCGTACAACCAAGGTGAAGCAGCACGAATACGACGACTCAAGCGTGTAAACAACGTCAAAGTAGGGGCACATGCAACCCACCCATAAGCAGCTTTGTTCAATTCAATTGAACGACAAGCCTGCATATAGCACACTAAAGAGAGCTGAATGCAAGCCAACGAACTCTCGACGCGCCAGTGCTCTTTTTCAATGAGCCCGCAACGGGCAGCACGACTGCAAGAACCAAAACGTTCAACATCAACCCGGGTTTACGCCGGCAACCAGCGACGCAACTGGGCAAGCTGCGCAGCGGACGAAGGCAACAGCAACAGTTTTGGCACTATTTTCTTGAAGACCATCAGCAAGACCCCAATCATTCCAACGATGAAAGCGTTCCTTCAAGGATCATGACCAAGCAGGAGACCCAACAAAGGAACGGTCGTCAACATACACCTCGAGCAAATGTGTTCGATCAAGTTGTTCCTGGTGGATAACATATAACATCTTCAAAAGTTGATGCAAATGTGCGCAAGCCCTCTATATATGTGTGCATGTGTTCCCGACTTGGCAAACGAAAAACACCCACTAAAAGAAAAGTTGGCTTGTTGCATCCAATGAACGACATTCAGCACGGCGAAATAAATAAAAGATATATAGAAAAGAAAAACTAATGACCACACAGGGGAAATGAAGGTCAATGGCTCGATCACCGCTTCCCAACTGACACCACCAGTGATGCTCATGAACAGGCTCAGCATAGTTTGTGGCAAGGACCCAAAATACCGCGTAGAATTTGCCATTTCCGGGGCATCAACGCCCAAATCCTTCTCTGCACCATCTACGATTTGGGTGAACAATACTGCAAATACATAGACAATCAGTGTGAGCAGCAGCATCGCCCAAATCAGGGCTTTCAACGTATGCATGATTGACCGCACCAAAGTCCGCAGCGCGATCACGAAGCGGAAAATTCGCATGACCTCAGTTTCTGCTGCCGCACGCCGCCAAACACAAAATCTATTTATACATACAGCGATTTCTAGCGGCGCCGGCAGCATACACAAGACCGGCGTGCGGACTGGAAGCCGTACAAAAGACCCTTGTTCTGTGAAGTATTTGGGAAACGCAATGCGTAAATGTTATGGTGGCACGAAGTGCGGACACGCGAGGTTCCGACTGACGAAAAGGAAGTCGCACGCAAAGTCGACCTTTTGCGTAACCACTGCAGCGCCCACCCTGTCTTGAGAGTTTTCACGGTATGGAAAACATGGTAAGGAAAACATATGCGTGAACTGAGTTGCATGGAGTGCAACTCACACTCTAGGAGAGGAAAAAACAAAGGTTCTCCAGCTCGCACCTCATCATCTTCTTCAGAAGTAGGTGGCACCAATCCCGCCTGCACCGTCGATGCAGGCCATGGTCCTCCCCAGCGCGCATCCACGGCGTCACAAAGTAATGCGCCGTGCATCTATACGCAAGCTGCAAGTCGTCATCCAAGGCGCGCGGCTAGTCGCATCTGGTGGGGTGGAACACTCAAGGATGCGCAAGTGAGCACCATTGCGAAGGATGTCACTGATTCGGCCTGATTGACAAACCAAAATGCTGCAATCAAGCCTCATGCACCAAACGCGACCACAGTGTGCCATGAAGATCTCATCACGGATTGGGCAGTGTCGGAAATGCTCCATCATCTCCCGATAGCACCTGTTCAGAAGCGCTTTGGCATCCAGGAGGGCCTCGCTGTATTGGGACTCCATCTCCAGGCGCCTATCGGATTATCGGCTTCTTCTTCACGAGTGAGCTGGTGGATCGTTCCACGCGTTGAAAAAGCTTCAAGCTCTCACACTTGCGCTCTAGTGAATTCGAGCTCCTGGGTCAAAAGGTTGCTCACCCTCGCTGTCCCGGCAGCGGTGTGGGCTTCAACACTGGACGCCATTCATGGTATTGGTAGCAAGTCCTTGCATCTTGCTCCAAAGGCCACAACGAGGCGCGAGAATCTCATCTGGCAACTCTTGTCGTTTCTTGTAGAGCAATGCTTGTCGGTGGGACGCAATATCAAAGTCCCAATCCTGTAGCAATCTCTCCGAGATTTCGGCAGTGGTGAGTGACCAGCGTCCTGAGAGACCCCCTCAACATTCATGTAGGTCATCAAGTTCACGGTGTAGGGCTCTTCAGTCTCAGCGAGGGAGGAATTTGGCAGGGGGAGGTTAAGCCGGAGTTAAAGAAGCAGCCACGCCCTCAGCGCATTGTCAGGAAGCGGCGTGGGATCAGACACTGAAGTCTTGGGCAGCTTGGGGCAATTTGCTGCAATGTGTCCTGAGCCTCCACAGCGAAGGCATTGGATTGCGGCGGGCGATCAAGCTCGAGGAGCGAACAGTGGATGAGCTGGAACGACCCTTCTTGCCACCCTTGCGCTTTCGTGAACCTTGCCCTTTGTTGAACGAGTAGGAGACGAGGTCTGGGACGTGTTGTCGTCCTGTAGGGCCACGAATGGCAGGTAGCCGCCGACTCACCTTCAGATCTGCAAACCGCCGCCTTGCGTCCAAGTATGCCGCATATAGGCTGCATCGTACTCTTCGATGCACCATGACTCTGAGGCGTCCACAAAACCTTCTTCCCCCTCCTGCTCCTCAACTTGGTCGAAGGTGGATTCATCATCTTGCCAAGACTCGACGTAGTCGTAGTCATACTCATAGGGGTCGTAAATCTCCTCTTCAAACAAGCCATGTTCATCTTCCCGGCCTTCATTGGCAAGGTAGGCTCTCTGGCCCTTGCCGCGGCCGAAGGGCCTTCGTCTCCAACAGGGCTTTGTGATCTTGTCCAAGGATCAGGTAGAGCGCTTCCAGAACCTTGTTGCGCTCGAGGCCAGGTGCTTGAGTCAACACCATTTGACGTCGGCTTTCTTCAAAAGGAACCATCCAAGCACAACGGAAGGCAACTTGACACCATGGGCCTGTACCTTGCGGAACTTCTCATCAAACTCGGTGCAAAACGGTAGGAGAGTAGTAGTATAGTGTTAATCGTGATGAAGAAGGTCATCACGATGCTGACGCCCTTGAAATTGCGCCAGCGCCACACGAAGGTGGCTAGCCACCACCGTACCTCTGCGCAAGGAGCGTCTCCTGCACACGCGCCAACCATTGAAGGAGGCGAAGGTGTTGAGCACGACCCATATCGCGCGTTGGCCAAGCCATACGCCAAGTGAGAAATTGCTGTGGCTTTCTTGGTCTATAGAAGAAGCCTGTGGGAAACGCCGACACGTCCAAGCGACATGTTCAAGATGGAGCACCAGGGAAATTTTGTACTGATGCCTTTCATCTTTCCGTACAGGGCCCACCACAGCTCCAAGTAAGACTGAGCGGCCATGGGTGGATGTACACGTAAAGGCACGTCTCGCGGCCTCCAAATCAAGATGGTCAATTTGCGCCCTCATTTCCAAAGGACTAGCAACTCTTTGCCAGGATGGAGCTTCACGACGATCTCCTTTGCTCCACTCCAGAAGCTTAGTTTGTCGCCAAACTCTTCGAAGCTGGTGCGCCTGCAAATCAACATCTTTGCCATTTGGCGCATGAAGTCGTTCCGTAGCTCTTTGCCACGTCCAAGGTTGGTGGGTCTCATCCCAACCAAAGCTGCGCATCCACTTGCGGAAAGCATGGGTAGGAGTACCAGGGCGCATGCAACAAAGTCTTTTGAGGAAGCGCGTAGCCAAGATGATTCGTGGGTTACAATTGCCACCATACAACAAACTTGGGGAGAACATAAGCAGTGCGAAACAACGCCCTCTGCCTGTTGTAAGTGGAGATGCGTTGCTTTTCCAAAGCAGTATTCTCTGCAGGGCGAGCTCTGATCGACACGCAGTTCCAGGCCTTCGCCAGCAATCTCCCTCCTGAGATTGCTGGGGTCTCTGGCCATGATGCTAGTGAAGCGGCTGCAGCTTTTCTTCAGCAACAATTAGTCACTCAAAAAGGAGTGCTGATCAGTCTTGACTACTCGCAATGCTATGACAGGATGCAAGTGCCTCTTGTGTTGGAGTTCTTGAGACGGATTCAGTGGGGCCGGAGCCTCTTCTTGTTCAAATGGCAGCTGTTTGGAAAACAGAACGATTCATTGAATTCGACCAACATGTTCACCCACAGACGCTGATCAGCAATGGGGTCCCTCAAGGTTGCCCATTGGCGCTACTTACTTTGGCTTGTTTCATGGCTTCAGGCCATAATGGTGTCAATCGGCTGATGAGGGAAAATGATGGGTACACCGCTGAGGGTGCCTCCAAGGCGAGTGTGCGAATCTATATGGATGATCGAAGCTGGATTGGTGCTGACTACACCCGTGCATTGGACAGAGCGTCTAATTGGTTCAGATGGAGTGCATCAGTTGGGCTTCAAGAAAATCCTCAATGGTTTCAACAGCACACCGTTAAGGTTCTTGGGCCCTTTACCATTGCTCTTGCCAGGCTGATTCACAAGTCGGTGGTATTCAAGCTTATCTTGGTCGTTGACAACGTATTGTTTGGTCATATGCATGGCAAGGCGATAAGCTCGGCTCAAGAGCCTCATGAAATTTCGCAACCCCTCATCAACCTCAATTGCATGACCAAGCTGCAGCAAAGGTGCCATAGCTTTACCTTTGACAACTTGATGCCAAGCATCGTCTAGCAAATTTCTCCATGATCTTCATCAACAAAGGTTGGCCGGCGCCAAGATGGTTGAAGACAGAACCGGTATCTTTGTGTGGGGCTCCACTGTGTGTTAACCTGCACCTTTACAGCTTTGTGATCACTCAAGCAAAGGTCATGATTTACTTCAGGCCGGCCGCACCACAAAGGTTTGTTAGTCATGAGCCAGTCTAATTTTTGGCGGCCGTTCCATCTGGTATGCATTCCAGTCTGCAAACATTCTCCATTGTGTTGCTGTAACACTGGTGCAATGCAAGAATGCAAAGGTTCTTCGTTGGCATCCCCACCAGCAAGCCAAGGGCTGCGGGTGAAATTAGCAGCAACAAGAAATTCACACAGTCTGCTGGACATATGCTGGTGTTCAGCTGGTGGAGAATAAAATTGATTAGGGCCATCCCTTCAACAAAAACTGCAAGCAAGAACGTGTTCGGTGTTTCTTCCGAAATTGGTGTATTTATAGGTTGCTGGGACAGTCATTTCGGAATCAGGATGGTGACTCCTCCCGTACGTCGGCATCCATTCTGGAGTCCTTTCTGCCAATACACCTCGTAGCGTTTCTTTCTTGCAGCTTTCACAAAGGCTAACATTTCCAAGCGCCTGGACATCCCTGCGTGTTCAAAGTCACTATGTCAAAGGACGGTCCAGGCTGGGGTTCGACGCCCTGCTGAACCAAACGCTTCCGCTTAGCATCAGCCAAAACTTTTGCTGAGAATTGCGACTCTGAGAGCCTCTGCCGTGGGCAAAGATGTTTGCCACAAATTTGCCAAGATCTGCTGATTTCGCTCATCCAACTGGCAAAAAAATCTTTGACCTTTCAAAGGGGCGCGCTTATCCTTGGAGAAATGATAAGGGCCAAACCGCCAACAATTGCGACAGGTGTATAGCGGGCTGTTTCTCCAACACTTTCCGCTAAGATCACCCGCCAGGACTGTTTGTCAGAGTGAAAGTCGAACAAATTATGCCCGCTTCTTGTCAAGTCTCTTGCCTTCAAACATGGCTGTAAGACTTGGCCTACTGCGTCTGCCACTTGGGAGTCACTAGCATGAGTACACTTGTTCAGGACGGAAAGCAACTGCTGGCGAAGGCTTGTTGACGACGACCAACTATTTGGTTGATCTTGTTTTCCTTCTTTTGGTGGTTTCCCACCGAGCTGACTTGGAATTGGTTGACGGAGGTATCCACGGTTGCAAAACATCGGCAAGAGCTTTTGCTAGGCCAAATTCTGCGTTTGCATCTTCATTCCAATCTGTGTGGTTCCATCGCTTTCTCTGTGTGGTAGCTGCACCTCCAGCACCACCAACAAGGGATGCACGTATATTGGCGAGCGCTCTCGTGTCACTTCTGCTTTTGGATCTGCATTTAGCGGCCAAATTCTGCGGCGAAGCTTGGCAGCAGGAGTCCTCTTCTTTTTGATTTGGCGCGTCATTTTGTCTTTCTTTTTTGCGTTTTTTCGTAAATGCAAGCGAGTTTTGATTGCTCCTGCATTCTGTGGTGAGCCAGTCCCAAAGAAGTCCGGCACAAACCAACGCACTACGTTATACAAAGGGTGATCAAATTTAGGCATCATCTTGTCAAGCTGCATTTGCAAGTCTGAGCTCGCAGCTTGGCAAGGTTGGACGAAACACAGCAACACAAAAAGTTGAGTGCCAGGCCGTCTATTTGTCATCAGCTTCGCACCTTTTAAGGCCCGTGACCACCGAGACAAAGTATTTCTCAATCTTTGCCAGGAGGTGCTGATGAAGTCACCAAAACTGTAGGAGAGTGGTGCTCCCTGCAGACTCTTCATCTTGGGGCGGTAGATGTTGATGCGCTTCCTCCATTCAACACACGATTGAGGCTGTCCATCGAACTGGGGTACGTAGTTGTCTCTGAGGCTTGTCGCATCGAGCGTGGTGCTCGTGGAGGCCTGGGCACCGGGCATGGTTATGTCCTGGAGACCCCAGGTCTGTAGACCTGGTGGAGCAGTCTTTGTTGTGTGAGGTTGTTTGTAATTTGTAATGTAGTTGTTGCGGTATGTAATGTGAGGTGAATGTGGTACAAGAGGTGTGTGTGCGTGTGTGTGTGTGTGCAGTGGCGGCTGCGGGAGATGATCCGGCTGGATCAGAGCTCCGCTGCCATGCAAATGTTGTGGTAGCACGGAGTGCGGACACGCGAGGTTCCGACTGACGAAAAGGAAGTCGCGCGCAAAGTCGACCTTTTGCGTAACCGGCTACGCTCAGTGCAGCACCCACCCTGTCTTGAGAGCAAGTGCGGTATGGAAAACATGGTGTGGAACTGTATGGAAAACATGCGCATGAACTGAGTTGCATGGAGTGCAATTCACAATGGGTTATCATCGGCATTCTTGTTTCAAAACGGTTTCTTCGGGACACGGCCACTTGCAACGTTTTGTGACGTTTGCTCTCAACAGGCAAGCTCTGCGGTCATCCTTTCACAGATGCCTTCGTCAAGCGAATCATCAGGAATCAGCGATGCCTTCGTCAAGTGAATCATCGGGAGTCAGCGAGCCCCATATAGTTGCCGGGCAAGCTAATTTCCGCGCTAATTGTTCATTCCGCTGTCTCGGGGCAAATATTAGCTATATAATTGAAATTGTCAGTTCTAAATGGCACAACAAATCGACTATTTTTGCTAGTTATTTTGAACACTTGAGAGGAGGGAGACACGAAAGGTAGGACAGCAGGAAGAGAAGAGAACGCGAGAGGCAGGAACAAAAATGCAATGTTCGACATGGTGATTTATCCCCTCGGAGGCGACCTTTCGTAAATATATGTTCATATGCACTTTAAATGTTCAAACATGTGCTCTCGAAATGTTCAAAAAGATTCTTAGGAAAACAAACTTGCCCCATGGCTCAGATCATCGGTGAGCATTGAATCGGAACATCATAGGATTTGAACTATCCTGAAACCATAAGAGGCTCACGAAGACGCTCCCCAGGAGAGAATTGACGTGCTTCACAAAACAAACTCTAGGTATGTATCCCCTCGGGGAACACCTTTCGTGATTAGAACTTCATATTCACTCTTTCTGAATGTTCAAGAGGGTTTCAACTATCCTGAAATCATGAGAGGCTCACGAAGACGTTCTCCAGGAGAGAATTGATTTTAGAGGGGGGGAGGGGGGGGGGGTCTGAATTGAGCGATCAATTATTAGACCCGGACGTCCCAACACTTGCTTCGCAAGACAAACTCAAGGTATCCCCTAAAGGGCTACCTTTCGTGACTTGTTTGGTGGCAATAATCGTGGGTGCACTGTAGCAATCATGCAAACAGTTCAAGTGCACTAAGGCTGTCCCCTCCAGCTTCAACCAACAACTCCAAGTTCAAACAAGAACTGCTCGACTTCTAAGTGGCTGTTCTGAGCGGCAACGCGCAAAGTTGTGGCGACCAACCATATACCCTGCCATCTTAACATGCCGGGCCCGGCCATACACGGCGGGAACAAGTATTTCATATTATTTCATACTACCTCCAGGGCCACTATACCTTCAAAAGGTGCTGCCGTATTTTTTTACACTAAAGATTGTGTAACCCGATCTATAGGGACGAGCTCTTGATCAACGACTGGAGGCCGCATACGCACACACTGGAGATCGTGATCTCCAACACCAGCTCACAAATTACCTGTTCAACAATGATCTGAATCCAAACCAGTTTGGCACACAAAAAAACTAAAGGATCAGAACAATCACGGCTTAAGCCGTCAATATATTGGTCCAAAGACAATGGATTGACACACCGCAAGGGAAGAAGGCACACACCGAGGTGACCTCTTGCGACTTCCTCACACATATCTTCATGCTTCTCCCACATATCGAAAAACAAAAACACAACTAGACCGTCACCTCACCCCTCCACCCACCCACCCACCCCCGTAACAATCAACATGAGACCGTGGCATGACATGACCGAGACCTCATGCAGCCAAAAGCATGTGAGAATCGGTCCAGTCTTCAGTTTCGACGCCAACCGAGGCCCCCTACGAAATGAGCGACTCAATTCATTGGAAGACATCGAGTTAAAATTGGCAAAGATGCTGGGCTTTTGATAGTTTTTGTCATGGACCTTGAAGAGGTCACATTGGTTTTGTGTGCCAGTATTAAGAGCACTTGGGTTGCCAGGGCCACCAGCGAGAAGAAGACAAGGGGCTCGGCAAAAGCGACGAGCTTCTTTCAGCGGGGTAAACGGGCACGTCGATGCGAAAGAGTCCACGACCCAGCACGTACACCCAAACGTCGTGACAGTATGCCGCAGCAAGACACAACATATAAGGGCGTGAAGCGCGAAACCCAGATTGACCACAAGAAACTACAGCAACTGCCTATATAGCCCTTCCTAGTCCAACGGGCCTCTGTCCACGATGGCAACAGTTGCCGAAACGAAGTTGGAAAGAGGACCACGCGGCTGAGTAGAAAGGTCCAAGGCGAAGACCGAAACCCAAGGAAGCAAAAAAGCAAACAAATTCTTCAACACAGGCTGGTCCTCGAAAGCAGAACAAGTACAGCGGCTCAAGCGCAACAAGAGAACGAGACACAAGGAAAAACCGAAGTTCACTAGTGTGCTGCATGGTATTATGCCCCAGCCCAACCCCCCCAACCACATGAACACGGTGTCTATGCTTACAAAGCTACAAAGCTAATCCGGAGACCCTGCAAATGCGTCCTAAGATGCGAAAAGTTTGAAAAACCGTTAAAGCCCTAAAAAATGGTGGTTTCACGCGGGGCCCCGGTTAGCGTCGTAGGCATAAACAATGTTTCGAGCGTGATGAAGAAAGTGCAACGTCGGCTTTGAGTAAGTTCTGACAACGGCATGTGTAAGCAGTGTAAGCACTCAATCAGTTGCACCAAGAAAAAAGGGCACAAGGCTACCAAGTCACTTGCGCTGTCTTGAAGACGCGCGTCAAACGAATGATGCGGAGAGCCTTTAAGCTTGAGACACCCACTGCCCCTTCAAGTTGGCCTTCAAATATGTGGACCACAATTTCCCAAGCAGATGTAAGCACAATCCCCAAATCCAAGAGGCTCCAAAACCAGTCTTCACTGCAAAAGATCCGAATGCCGCCCGCACTGATCCGAATCAGGAGCTCTAGACTAAATAGGCCTGCAAACATGTATTGGAAAATTCGAAGCGCTGATTCAACAGTAGAATCTGGATTCGTGACCTCGAACTGCACTTCAATTCCAATAAAAATCGCGTTGACAAGCACTACTCCAGCAAAAAAGGCATCAAATGCAGGACTTCCAGCAATCCTTTTCACAAGTGACAGTTTTGGCTCCTCTGAGTAACCATAGTGGTAGACAGACACTCTCTTGCGAGTCTCCTCCTTGTTATGAGCTTCGGTCGCATCCTCACGCAACCGGAGATCGTGGGATGTGTAGCTTTGAAACATCTGTGGTGACTTTGAAGAACTTCCAGGGCTGTTGTTCACCGCCGCTCCCTCTAATTGCGGTAAGGCTGGAAGCAAATGGCTGCTGCTGCTGCTGAAAGGCCCATCCACAGCCACATCCTCTATAATTGAAGATGACCTCCTAGACGGACTTGCCAGCAGTTGGTTCAATTTGACATCTTGACTACGAAGTGCCTCCATCATCTCGTGGTGCTGCTGCGTTAACAAAGTTGTCATATCAGACCGGTCGGCTCCATGCCGATCCTCAAGGCGACAACAACAACAACAACAGCCGCCACCACCACCACGACGACAACAGCAACAACCACCAAAAGAACCTCCTGCAAGGTCCACGAATGCGCATGTTTTAACGAGCCTAGTTTTGCTGATCAAAACTCCCAGCCTGGTCAGGCTGCACAGCCATCATTTTCTCTATCCCGGCAGAGCGCCCCCCTTGAGCCACTCATCTTCTAGAGCAGAACATGTCCAACTGCCTTGCTTCACAAAGTTGCCAAATCACCCGCTGTTTGAGTTGCAGTGGTTCTTGCAGTTTGGAACCATGACTTGATATAACGTGGCACCTAAATACGTGAGAGTATCGCTTCGTTGTTGTGGTATGTTGCAGCCAAACACACCCTTTTCCTTCGTTGTTGCGCAAACGGTGAAACAAGAATGGATATTTGCACATTCACTGTCCCAAATCGAGTCTGGCTTGAAACGCACAAAGCGAATTGACGTAGACGTAAATGCCTGCATGCCGTGGGCTCCTTCAGAGGTCCCTGGCACTCGGCATGGTTTTGTGACCGGCACTTTCTATCAAGTAGCTCAACAGCTCACTAATCCCCCGAATCTCACCTTCCACAAAGGCCTGAAATTTCCCTTGGTTCCGTATGAGCCACTGCTGGTCCTGAAGAACTTTGCCCACGTCCATGGCCCTAGCATCACCTCCAAGCCTAAGGCAGCCCATAAAGAACTCTTCGATTTCGATCGAGCCACCCCCATCCGTGTCCAGCAGTTTGAAGAAGGACCACGGATCCCACACATCTAAGCCAAGCGTTTCCAGGTACCCACGAACAGTGGGTGAGTGGATTTTCTCTTCTAGCATTGGAAATGTGATGCCTCCGTCTCCGGAGCTTGCAATCTCACTGAAAACGGCTCGCATCTTCTCCAGGTGAGCTTCCTTGTTTTCCAACATTGATTGGACCACGGTAGCGTGATCTTGTTGGGCACTCTCAATAGCGCTTTGGCAAAAAGATGCCGTTACAACATTCAGCACCTTGAGTGTGAGAGCAGCTGAGAATACAAAACAGGATGTGGGGATCAAGAGGCACAACTGGACAGTGGAAGAAACAAAAGGCAAAATGGAAAACTATTGAACAAACAAGATGCCGCAAAGTATGTAAATGCCACGTAGAAAAGGAAGGCAAGAGTCCAAACATGTGAGATTCGCATCAAAGGTTCGATCACATCCTCCCAGCTTACTCCTCCAGCAATGCTCATGAAAAGGCTCAGCATGCTATGGAACAACGAACCGAAATACTTGTAACTCTGGTCATCGAGATGGGCCGCCCCTTGATCCTTAAGGTCGTCATCCATCGCCTGTGTAAATACAAGCGCAAAAATGTAGATGATCAAGAACAAAAGTAGCAAAGCCCAAAATAATGCTTTCAGCGTGGATAGAATGGAGGTCACTAGCGTTCTCAGGGCCATGACAAATCGCAAGACACGAATAACTTGCGCCGTCTTCAAGATTCTTGTAAGACGGAGGATGCGGAAGGCACGCAGGCTAGAAACGCCTTCAATACTCTCCAAATCCGAAGTGTTTGAGAAAATCCGAGCGATGTCAATCCCAACTTCCAACCATGCGGCCATCACGATCACGGTGTCAAAAAGATTCCACATCCGCTGCTCCGAACCTAGGAACCTCCGACCCTCAGCTGCCAAACGCAACAGGATCTCAGTGGTAAAGGCCACCGTGTAGAAGTACCGCACTGCCAGAATTCCAACTGGTCGCTCGGTAGACTCGTTTCCAACATTGGTCTGAACATCAATTCCGATGAATATTGCATTGGTCACCACCACCACACCAAAGAAAATGTCAAAGCCGACATGTCTTGTGATTCTCTGGAGGCAGGTAACACGCTTTATCGGTGTTTCACAGTCTTCGTTGGTTTCAGAAATACGAGGGCTTTGGGCCTTAGAGGCATCTAGCTTCGCAAGCATATCATCCTGCGAGTAGCTGGTGAAAAGGCTTGGCGCCAATGACTGCTCGCCTGGTGACTTCGGCACAACTCCAGGGCTGTTCAACCCCCGAGGGTCCAAGGTGGCCATCCCACTCCCCGCGCTGCCCATGCTCCCCGTGCCCGTGCCCAGTGTAATTGACCGTGCCAAATTTAGAGCACTGGGAGTTCTGGCAACAGGAAGGCTGGACGGCTCAGCGTTGGCATTCACCATGGCAGTCTGCAGTTGTGGCTGGCGGAGTTGCTTCAGCACAGCGTCTTGTGAGAAAAATGCCTGCATAACCTCTTGATGTTGCTGCTTCATGAGCTCCAGGAGATGCAGCAAGCTGGCGCCAGCATCACTGTTGCTCGTCAGGTCCTGCCCCAGCTTGCATTGTGATGTCTGCAGGTATCTGCCTATTAATGTCGTGTGCTGCTAACATACCCAGCCTGAATCACCAAATGCTGGCCACACAAACACGCGGAAGGAGGCTCAGAACAAAAGCACAAAGCTACCCACCTGAACGGCTATGTGCATCCCATTGGAGGTAGGGGACAGGACGCAGATAATGCAAGCTTGATTTTTAGAGCCAGTTGCACGCCACATAGCATGGATGAAGGGAACGTTCCAAGTTCCAACATCGCTTCCTTTTGCTCGAAAGCTCAGCTTGGCTTCCATACCAAGCCCGACAAAGACTTGGGAGTTGCGCACAGAGCACACCAAGGTAGCACAGCAGCCTGCCAGGCATCTGAAGACAAACGGTGGAGAAAATGGCCATCAAGAGGATGAGAAAGCGGACAGAATGAAATGGAGGAGAAGCACAGGAGCTTAGCAGCGCAAGCGTCATGACATTCAAAATCTACAATCTACAGAAGTAGACTTGCTGGGAAAGTCCCAGGTTGCCTGACTAAGAAGATTGACACAGAATCGATGTTATTAAAGAAAAACATGTGTTGCTGTTTTTCATGTCCGACTCTCTTTATGCCTCTCCCTTCATATTCGCCTGTTCTTGTCCCAATCTCTTCCTTCCTATCAACCCACAGGTCAGCATGTCATGTGCAAAGCACTATCCAAAACTTGCTCCACATGCAGGCCACAAAAAGAATGCCAGCCAGAAGTTTTCACACAACAAGCCAAGTAGACCCAAAAAAGCCCCTCAGCTTAGCCAACCCCACGGCAAAACCTGCCGATCTGCAAGATTTGTCGCTTTTGTTGTCAATTTATGTTGCTTGGTGAGCATCGTAGCAACACAGGAAGAACGTGAAACGACAAAACACATGGAATAGTTGGAAAAGATTGGAAAAGGCATGCTACAACTGCAAGCTCTTGCGATTCTCCCACTTTGGATGTCACTCCCGGGATGTTGCACTGTCTAAGGTAGTGGACTCAGTTCACGGCGAACGCCGCTCACCACAGGCGGCGAACGCAATGCATAACAGCATCAGCTCTCCAACTCCAAGCAATTTACAAACAATCATGGGCCACATGCCTTCCTCATTGCCAAATCAAAATTACCTAAGTTCGCATTCTTGCACTGTGCGGATGTTGATCAAGGAAGTCACGGGAAAATACCTGAGCTGGCTGTTATTCAATGGGTGGGAGGTGTTTCATCAACTTTCTCTCTCTCTCTCTCTCTCTCTCTCTGTGTCCCCGCAAGCTCCCCAAAGGAGAAAAAAACAAAAGAACCACTATCAAACGAAAGTCAGATGTTTTACCATGTCTTTCTCAACAATCTTAACCAAAGGAACTGCACAGCACGGTCAAAGGACATACCGCCATTCACATGTTTTGCTTTTTCAAGACTCTGCCCAACTCATTTCCGCTTTGGGGGGGGCAATGCCAATTGAAACAGAGTAATTAGGGCAAGGGCATTGAAGCGCGTGTGATTGAAACGATGCACAATCGGCGATCTTACGGAAGAAGAGGATCGAATTTGCGGGAATATTTTCAAACGACCGGCAACAACTCATTGTTTTTTAGGTGCTGGAGTGCGCAGTGTCATTCCAAGTCATCCACTGTAAAGTTCTGTTGCGAATGGTTCCATTCAAGTGCTACTGTCAAGACCTTGCCCATACTAGATTAGCACAAAGCAGAGTTGGCGCAGGCCAGATGGATTGGTTTTGTGCGCCGAAGCTGATGCACTTTGGTGTAGAGACAGACTACAGCGGCCCAGCATGCGGTCTCCTGGGAGATCTCTGGAGGCTCCTGAAGGCTGGCAGAGTCCTCAAACATCAGGCTGTCATGGAGGGAGTTTGTGATGGGATCCATGGCTGCGGGCAAAGCGTCAACTTTAATAGAGCAAAGGATCCATGGCTGCTGATGTTCATTATTTTTCTGGTAACAGCTTCTTGCTACTAGTAGTGCCAGGAGCCCCGATCGTAGCGTCCTTGCTCCTAGGCTCCATCGACTCTTAGACATGAAAAAGGACAAAAGGTGACCCTGAGAACCTGCACTGGTTGCCTGCTCTGGATTCAGGTTTCTCTTCAATGGCTGCAGCACGTTCTGCATGGGTCTTTAAACACAAGCATTGTAAACCAGCTGCCCTGCAGTCTATGGTTTTCATGCCTCCTTGGAGCTGCTGGAAGTTGCACCTGGCACAAGGCAAGGTGCAACACCTCCGGGAAAAAGGACAAAAGAATACAACAGAGAACAGCTTCTAATATGCGCAGCAGTGGCCTATGAAGTTTCTTTTGCTCTGGTCACTGCGCTTCAAAATCAATGCCGTCAGCAGGACCAATCCACGGCCAGTTTGGAAACCCGCCCCGCGGTCTGAGACCTTGATATGGTTGCGTCTGTGGGGTGCACACCACCCAGTCATCCGAGTCTTGTCACGTCTCAAGTCGAATATATATATATATATGTCATATATATATATATGTCATATATATATATATGTGCTAGCCCCCCCCAAAGATCGGTATGCAAATGTGTGTCAAGCAGGAAGGCCCAAGGCAAAATCCACAAAAAGAATATATATATATATACGGTATACACAACAAGTAAATATGAATGAACATAGCAGAAAGGAATAGATTTATTTTTCCTATAGGTAAGAGATCAGAGACTTTGGAACCACATATCACGGAAGGAAAATGAAGGGAAGACAGAGACGGCAGAATTACACAGAACAACATAGTATATAAGCTCTGCACATTCTATCTTTGTTGTTTCTTCATTTTTTCCATGCATTTTCCTTGCAATCTGTGCTGCTCTTGTTCGTGCAGAATTATATGGTGTAGGTAGGCAAAAAGCATAGGAGTTCATATGCTGCAAATACAAAATACAAAGAAAGCAAGGGAGCAAGGAAGGAGGAGGGTTAATGCGCTGCTGTGCTTGGGCAGCAGGCTGGCCTACAAAGTCAGAACAACCACAAAGAATAGAACTGTTGATTCAATTTAATATAAGTGTTTCTATTTTTACCGGTATGTTTCCTAGTGCGAGTGGATCTTAATCAGCGAAGTTTGAAGCTATCACTGACGGTCCATAAGCGGCGTAGCGTCGGAACGGAAACCGCACCTTTTCTAGTCGCTTGATCCTTGAGCCAAAGTACATATGGTACATATATATGTACAAGTTGCACTGTACGTGTCGCTGCACTTCCATTCGCACCCCCCATGTGAACGGCAACAATATGTTCCGATCACACACGAAAATTTAGGGATGTAAGTGCTACAAAAGGAATTGTATGATTTGCCGCGAGACTCATATGAGGCTCATACTACGAAACATGCTGGACTAAAGCGGACTTTTACATATAAAGTGTGCAACTATGGCTCAGAACCTATGAAAAAAATCGAATTGAACGAGTGAGACAGTCACGAGGCCTCGCTCAGTATCCACTCAAAAGAGCATCGCTTTGATGTAGATCCGAACTGGTGACTTCCACGTAGATGTCACATCGGCAACTGACTTCACACTTCTCAAAAGATGTAGGTTTTGATTTGGATACACTTACAGAACGGCAAGTCGGAGAGACAGTCGGTGACTGTCTGCCTTCCATTATGCTCATGGTATCAAATCGTATTGATGATTTGCAATGATACACTTACAGCGTTTCAGGTCAGATAGACATCCGGTGAATGACTTCCTCCCTGGTTTGCATGGTATCCTCATAGTCGTTCAAAGAAATCACCACTGGCGATAACCTCTCCATCCACGATGATCCCAGCTGCCCTGAGCATCCCGCCGATCATCTTCTCCCTTCTTGGACTTTCCCTTGGACTTGCTCTTTCCCTTCCCCTTTTCAAAAGGTTGAGGTACTTCGCGACGTTCTTGCGTTAGCGCCGGCCTCCAAGATGTTCCAGATTGGTCTCCTCCTTTGGAATGTCCTCGGGATGATGAAGAAGTTGTGCCTTCTGTTGATGAGGGCCCAAAACTCTTAGGTGCTGTTGAAGGTTTTGGCTCCTCACTTGGTGCTGACGACGGCTTGGCCTCGGTTCTGGGTGTAGATGCTGGCTTTGCCTCAGCTCTTGATGAAGATGCTGCTTTCGCTTCAGACTTAGTCGTTGATGTTGACTTAGCTGTTGCCTTGGCTGCCTGCTTCTTCTTGCCCTGAATCTCCTTGGCCCTATCTCCAAAGCCTAGACGATTGGTAAGAGCTTGAACATGCTTATGTTCTACCACGCTCATCCATCTCTCTGTATGTCCAACGTTGGGGTTTCTGGCCATTGACTCTATGACTTCCTGAGCTTGTGGGGGCAACCTGATCTCATGTTGATCAATGATCAACAGAATAGACTTCTCCCACTTGCTCTTCATTCTCGAGTACATGATGTCCAGAGGATCGATCACCTTGTGGTAGGGTGATGTAACGTCGGTTCTAAAGTAAGAATATGTCCGACACCCATAAATCGCATGGATGCACTTCTGTACCAATTCAGTCATTGCGCTGGCTTTCTTCGCTTTCAACTCCTCAAGCTGGGCATCAGTCAAGTTGGTGGAGTGTTCGAAGTTGCCATATTCCCTCTTGAAGGATTGCGGAGTATGACCAAATGATAGGATCACGAGTGCCACCTTGCAAATGAATTGCTCTCCTCTGAATCGGTGCCAGGCCTCCTCAGTCGTAATATTGTTGTCGTTGGCAAAGATTAACATCATGTCATCTGTTGGATCCAATGGTCTCCCATCGTCAT